TATGAAACATTTATCATATTCTGATATAAAAAGTTAGGCTGGAAGCTGTCTAATAAGTTGTGACTTGTCCACAAGGAGTACAAACAGAACTTATCAAGTTTCATATACAATAAAACTGTCCCAAGAAAACAGCATGTTCTATTTGGTCCCCTTTGGAGGATTTCTGCCTGTTATTAAGGCAATCCTCTATCATTTTTTCTCTTGATTCCTGTAAATCTATCTTCCACATATGCAATCCATTTGCATTAGCTTAAAAAGCAAATTTCCTCGGGATACAATTTTCCAAGTACATAGGTACAGTTTTAGTAGCTCTCTTTAGGGAATTCTCCTCCCACCAAGTTTAAAATATATGGATCTACTCTGGGGTTTATATGCTTTGAGATAAAGATCAGTAAAGATTTCCAAACAAGAGAGACACTGATCTCGCCCTCGGAAGCCTGCTTTTTAAGAAACACTCAGCAAAGCTCCATGCTGGATACTCCCAAACATCTTTCCCAACAGCACTTCAGCCTCCTGTAAGGAAACACCCCCAAAACCAGTGTTGCAAAGTCTCCTGAAGGCCACCACCTTCCAGCTAACCTGGGTGAGCAGGGGTGAGCAGTATCGCAAACAGAAAATTGATGTTCAGAGCTGAGAGGTCTCTCAGTTTCCTGGTTTCTACCCAAAACCTTTCGGCAAGCACTGTTTATAGCTGCTTGCAGTATTAAACTTCAGCTTGAGCAATGTACTTACATTTCCATGCAATTCCTAAATTACATAGCAATGGGCAAAGGACTGCTCATGAATTCGAAGCTCTGTACGATATCGCTGAGTCAGGAGCCTCCTGAATTAAATCAAGATTTCCAGTATAATCACTTTGTCTGCAGTACTGTTTCACTAGCAGCAGCAATGCACAACACACACTCCCTTCTTACTGGTCCTTCCCGAAGAGCAAATGGTTCCAAGTTCAGAACGACCTCACCAATCCAGAGGGTATTGCTCCTGAAAATGCGTACAGTGACTCGAATCTCAGGAAGTCCAAACACGCTGCAAAACCACGAAAAGCAGCCTCCGTTTTATTCACGGCAAAACAGAACGGTTTGGCAAGACTAGATGTCGTGCCCAGGATGCTACACTCTGAGGAGTCGGGAATGCTGGAGTGACAGCTGGTAACATTTACTTTCAAGACACCGGTAAGAATTAAAATATTGAAAAACTTGACAGTTGTACAAAACTACCCCTTGGGCTTCATCGAGTTAGTAGCCATATCTTCCAAACTGAGCTTTGCCATGTGGTCTCCTTGCTCTCTGTCCTCTCTGTGCATTAGATTCCCATCAGGGAAAACAGGCCCAGAAATTTGACGCAACTTGTCCAAGATGGCCCAGTTCCCTGCAGCTTAAAATACAGTTTTCAATGCAAGTCACGTATTTTGGAATGAATATTCATGTACTAATAAAATCCAAAGTGTTTGCAACTGGTGATAGATGCGACTGAAGAAAGCACGGGTTTGAGTTGCTGTTTCTTTTTAGACATAATCAAACCATTCAAAACTTGATTAAATACAATGACTTCAGAAACTGAAGCAAATCAAGTATTAAAACTATGTTCCTACATGCCCTTTCTTAGCATATCACGGTACGTTTCATGCTTTACTCTTGGTGTCAGCCAGATTGATTGTTCAGTGGAGTCTTGCACAGAGCTGGCTACTTTGAACCACTGCCTTTAGTTACAATCTAACAAATATTTGGGCTGTGAAAACACTGCAAAGTGTTAATATTTTAGAAATCGATTTCTGATGTCAACACCCCAACCACAATTGTGTTATTTTCAACCGTTAGTGAGAATGTGAACAATAAAGTTCATGAATCTATAAAGTAAAATGCCCCCAAACACAAAAAAATCTTACAACGTTTTACTCTTTTATTCTGCCATTTTTTCTGCATTAAAACTAAAGCCCGGTGTGATGGGAGTAAATGGTAAGCAGTGTCTGTGCCATCTCAGACACCATTTCAAGACTTCATATAAAAGCACAAGCTGATTTTAGAATTCACGTGCGGTTGTTAGCAGTGTTGTACACTTGGGTATGGAATTTTAAATGGTCATTTAAAACTGTAAAGTTAATTAATCAATCTGTTACAAAGTAGGAATAGTTTACTCTGGATTTGCTAATGTCACTGAGATGGAATTCCTTTCTGATAGACTATATTAAAAGAAAAATTTAATGAGACTTTGAATGATGGCTGTAGCTAACTTCATCCTAAAGATGCTTTTAGCACCCACATTGCCTGGACGAGCACGGATTTTTATCCTGCTTGAAAGGTAGCTTTGAATTCAAGAAGATGCCTCCAAAGTCAAAAGCCAACACACGTAACCATCCACACGAATGTGAATCCAGACTCTGTTACAATGTACTGTGGAGGTATCCATGTTTAACAACGATGGTTAAATGTTTGTAGGCAAAGGCCTTAACGGACCGGAGTGTTATACTTTCTGACTCGTCAAATTGTGAACACCGTGAAATTACACTCACGTTCTGCCTCCATCTGACTGGCTGTGCTGTGGAAGCAACAGGCACATTCGGAGTCAGACTCTCAGACCAAAAGGGTGTTTTCAGACAGGTATTAACACCCGTGGCCCAACTGTAAACCGTGTCCCTCCCTCTTCAAATCTTGTCATCAGAAGATGGGGCATTTTGCAGCCCTCATGGCTTGAGCAGACACTTGACACCACGGTCTGATACGATGCACAGAACTCTAAATCTCCAAGGGGTCAAACAGTACCAGCACTCTCACTGCCCCCACCGTTCACAGCTTGATTTACATACCACTGTAGGCCCTTGACAGAGCAGAGAATGAACTGTGAGCTTCTAGATGATGCTCAGCATTGCAATGAAATTTTTATAGCCCAATTGCCTTTTATTTGAGAACTAATTTTAAATGTGATTTTTTAATGCAATTTTTTCTTAATGTGCAGAAGTAATCAATTTGCTTCAAGCTGCCTAAGATTTTCCCAGATACGTGAGACCCAACCACAATTCATAGGACACTATGATTTACTTTGTGACCACCAAGGTCACAATAAAAACTTCTTCCCTTTCCTCCTGGCACCTGCCAAGCCTAGCCAGCGTTTGAAAGGATTCAGGAACTTGGGAGGAGAGCCTGCAGTTCAGTTTAAAGGCACAGAAGAAGGCCTCGTTAATGCGGAGCCATCTTTCTGCTTTCATCTCCCTTGCGGCCATCAAGGAGGCAGCAATGTGAATGAGGAGCCATCTTTCTGCTTTCATCTCCTTCTCACTTTTGACGTCCTGACACAGCAGCCCACTGGAAGGTGACACGGGGGGAGGGAGATGTCAAACTCCTAGAAGGCTAGAATTTCCTTCCCCAGGGCAACCTCTACAAACTAAAATAGTAATAAGCCATTTGCCAACCTGCAAGCTATGATCTCTACGAAATGAGTGCCCAAGTCTCCAAGTCACTTCCACACAAACACCTGCAATGCTGGCAAACGTGTGCCTGTGATAGAAATCTGCAGTTTAGTACATGCACCTTACTATGGATGTCCTCCCTTTCTTGTCTGCAATCCTATCCTGCTTCCAGTTCCTCCAGGAGGTCAGATTATTCTGTGTTTTCCCCATCCTTTTCCATGTACATACTGCTTTATGCCTCCTTCCCTCTATTACACATCCTTTCACCCCTGCACTCTCATTCTACCCTAACTTCTTTTCACCTTTCCCTGCCCCACAAATCTGGATTCTTTAAATTTCTGATCCCTTGAGGATCTCTCATTTTAATCTTTCCACTCAGCCCAGTGATAACCTCCTCTCCCTGATAAAATCTTTCTTTTTTCCTACCTATACATAGCTGGGACGGCTCACCCTTTTAACACACACAGTCTCTGAGGGCTGTTCAGGAGAGGAGGACAAGGACCACTCTTCTCCCTTTCCACAACAGACATTTTCTTGGTACATCCCGCTCTCCCCGGGGAGGAGCTTCTCGAGGCTTTTCTCTGGCAGGGTCACAAAGCAGGCTGACAATAGCTTTCCTTGGCTGCACAGGAAACGCTTTGATGGCAATCGACTTTCTTCCCAGGCAGAGTATCAAAGTGTGAATCAAGGCTTCCCCTGGAATTTGGATTTGGTTGCCCGAGCTAGAACAATAGTGGTGATGCTAGACAGGCTTGATAATGGTTTCTATTTTAACTTCTGCCTTTATTTTTTAGAGCTGCCTGTCACTTGGCATTACTACCGTGCTTGCTGACCAGCAATATGTTTGTTTGCCTGTACTCCCTGCTTTTGTGCAGCTGTATTCCTCTACGGATTCCTCTAATACCTTCACTGCGAGCTCTGTGGGGCAGGATGATTCCTGCACTGTTTGAGCAGCCCAGTACAGCGGGGGCCAAGGCCCCTTCAGTGCTGTTAATACACAGCATCAAAACCTCGGCTCTGGTCACAGAACAAGGACAGTACTGGCAGGAAATGAGACCTTTCCTTGCTCCCCGGAGCCTGCCTACTGCCTTCCATCAGACAGAGCGAAAAAGCAGACTGGGCAGGATGTGTGCAAGGAAGGAGTTGAACCAGTGCCCAAGTGAATGGAAAGTATCCAGATGGCTGTGGTAACTCACACGATGGGAGTCAAATCAAAACAAAATGAAAACAAAACCATATGCCATGTACCCTTCGCTCTCTTGCTCTCTTTCTCTCCCTGCCTTTCTTCTGGCTGTTGCCCCAGGTCCTTTTATCAGTATGGAGAGTAGTACGTTACTCAATTAGTGTATGTCATGAATAACAATAACCCCTCTTTTACATCAGAGATCATGGATTATTATTATTCATGTAACAGAGAATGTAAAATGAACCACAAAATTATACTCATGTAAAGGTCAGAGGAGTGTTAAGGGTCTACAAGGGAAGTTATATTTCTTCATTATATCCTTCTTTTTATCTGGTACGCTGTATACTTACAAAAAAAGAATATTAACTTTACACGTCTATGTTGCTATATGCTATAGAAATATCTACTCACAACCTGCTTGTATCTCAGGGGGAGTATTCAAAAGCATCATGGCAGTGGCAGCATCAATGTCAGGATCTGGAAAAATCAACCAATAAATACATTATTTACAACTGGGCTAATCTTTGTGCCCCCGTTGCTAAACTACAGGTTCAACCAAATCTCTGCAGTGAAAACGTGTATGAGCTCATTATTCAGAGAGCTCGTTGATCACACATCGAGTTAACCCCAAATTTTCACGTGATCCCTTTGCTACTATGAAGTAGAGCGCAGTGAGGAATGTCACCAAACCACACTCATGTATGCATGATACCTTTGCTGTCAGCCTCATGAATTCGCTGTTTAATTCTGTGGAGAGTATTTAGATTTCATTACAAAGGATCTGTGAAAGCAGGTGCAACATCACAATTTGGAAGCAACACACAGGGATGAGCTGACAGCAGAGCGGGAAAGCGTAAGGAACACCTACACCTGAGCAAGTACAGAAGATGACACTCGAACATTTTGATTTGTCGATAAGGATTTCTGCAATGTTTGAGAGAGCTGGAAGCCAAACTGCCAAAATTAAGACAAGGAAAAAAAAAAAGAAGAAACTAGCATTTCATTGAAGCACCAACTTATTTGCATCCTCATCCATTGTCACTTTAATATAAGCAAAAATCATCGTCTGGCTGCTGTTATTCTTAAATGGGTTTCTGAATCCCTCACGAACAGTCAGTTGACAGATGGTAAGTTACAGAGACAGAACAAAATATGATCCTTTTATAACTATATTCGCTTGCTTCACACGCAGCAGCTCGGCTGCTATGGCAATGTAGGTAGCTATGACAACAGTAAACAACCCCACAACGGCCACTGAATAAGCTGAAAAGAACATCTGCCCCAGCAAAGCGTCCCAGCTGCCCTGGGGCGCAACTTGCTAATGGCGCAGCCGTGCCGTGCGACGGAGAAAGCCGCCGATGCCATGTCCAACTAAATGAAGTGTGCAATTGAGGCAGACACAAAAACGCCTGCCCTGGTCGACTGCTGCCGCCACGCCGCTAAATGGAAAGACTAATGAGGATGCGTTCGTTGCTTGAGTTTCGGGGTTTTTTCAGCTTGTCAGTATTTATACTAAATTACATAGCAAAAAAATCAATTTACTACTAATAGCTTCATGGCACTTTATTTTGGCTATTCGGTCAGAAAATTACTTTTCACCGTTAAAAATACATATATATATAGCACCTTCATATATTTCAAATCTATTTCCAGGAATATGACGTGGTATAAAGCCCTACAATCTATTAACAATACAAATGACGTAGAGAGGATTTCAATATCTGCTTAAGCAAAATAGAAATTCACTTGACCAGTTAGGAAAAACAAAAAGGATCCTTTTTTGTTAGTAAGTATGTACTACTTCTCTGTGAATAGCTGGAAACACACTTCTAATGGCTACTTTGTTATTCAATTCCTGAAACAGTAAACAGAG